GAAAATTGGTACAATGGAAAATTTATTTCTTATCTCTTCAAGATTTTGATTTTTCAAATTGGATTCGGATCCATCTTTTCAACCCGATTTCCCCTCTAAATCGACCTCAAATCCCCCTATATATAAACCCCCACTGCCTTCATTCTATAAGGGGGGTTAGGAGAAAATTTTAGAAGAGCTATAGAGTTGGCCAGAATTTACTCACGAAATATAGGTTATAAAGGTCTGGGAATAGTCAATTTTACATTTTGAAAAGTTCTTGGAAGACTCTAGTTTAAGAGTTTAGGAAAGTTTATTATTCGGGTTTCATTTGGATTCTCTTGGTGTGTTGTTCGAGCTTTGAATCCGTGTGTTGGAAAATTTGAAACCAAGCTCCCATCTGTCCCGGAACGCTGCTCCGAAGAAGGTAATTCTGCCTCTTCTTACATTTTATTTCGGTATGATGTGTTGTATGTCCAAGCTTTTACTACAGGTCCTACTATTAAGTGTGTTTGGTTCCTCGTCTTGTTGGTTTCTTTACTGTCGTTCTTATGAATTTCTCGGCACATGACTCAAGTTTTGATAAAGTTTCTTTGGTAGTAAGATGCTAGTCGTTAGATTCGCTGGTTCAATGGGGTATCAAAATGATGTACTGTTCGATTGGTTTCGACTTTGAATATGCTATATGTATAAGTTTGATTGGTTATCCTCTCTATCGTTTTATTCATTATGATAGACTCTCATTTTATATTAGCTCAATCTCATGCTATAATTAAATAAAAATCTCTGCTTTTACATACTTGAGTGCTGTCCATGTCTTGTTATTGTTTTGTTTCTTCTGGTCTCAAGGCATGGTGTCATTATAACTCGCTTGTTTCCATGATCCACAACCTCGATGCTAAAACCTCTCATCCTTTCCATGAAAAACATTGTTTCCTGACCATGTGAGTGTATTAGGCATCTACATTCTATTTTATTATGTTAAATGAAGTTTATCTCCATGATAAGTATCGACTATTTGTACGATATGATTAACGAGCTCAATAGTCGAAGTGTAAGGTTGACCTCCTTGGCTTTCTCTGTTAAGTATTTTACTTCAAGATTGTTGATAATTTCATTATTGTGCAACGGTAGATGATTTCTAGCATTTAAAGTTGTCCAGCTTCAATTTTGTGTAGCATTAATCATGTTTGAGAGTCTGAGTAAGTGCTCTAAATTTGTTTGTTTGTTTATTAGTATCTAATGTAGTCCTTATATTTTGCTAAAAAAGAAATAATAAAAAAATCAATAAATAAATATGCTTTACTTTTCACATGTTGCCAGTTGTTGATGTTGATTGTTTATGATATGAATAATCACGGTTCCCTTTCAATTATCTCTTTTAAATTATTTACTTTCCGAATTGATATCCTTCGTTTCTTGTCGGTGGGTGATACTTGAACCTAATGTGTATGAGTACGGTTGCCTCACATTACTCGAATGAAGCTTTAAATTTGTATGTCTGTGAGTTCATTAGCTACTAACGTATAAAGATAGATATCACTAGAGTTTCCCTTTTAGTGTTGGCTTATAGCAATATTTGTTGTTCAAATGCACTTGTAAACTTGTCCTTAGTTGCTAATAATTTGTTCGTTGATACTAGTTTGCATAATGTGGTCACTGCCACATAGAACTTATTCACTGATTTAGTTGTATTCTTCCATTTCAGCTCTCTTTTGAGTTATTTGTATTGTATAAGTAGTCTTTCATTATCTTTAAATAGGCCTTATCTACATACACATCCTCCTTGCCTTATGTAGTTGTGATTAGTAATCAATTTGTTTAGTTCACTATTTATCTTGTTTCATCTCTTTAGTAGATATTATGTATATTTTGTTTAGTTAGGAAACTTTCTCTAATGGCTTGTCCCATTCTTAATTAGTTTCCACAATTAGCTCTCATTTTTTAATACAATATCACCATCCTTTTGTCTAGAAATATAATGTTATTAATTAGGTTCTCATCTCTTAAAAAATTTATGTGTCTACCTTCGTCTAGAGTTAATTACTTGATCATATATTTGATGGAAGTTTTACCTTTTCTTTTTTTTCTAATTCTTCTCCTCCTCTTTGTGTGCATGTAAACCCCTTCCGAGTCCATGGTGGACTTCTCCTCCTAGCATTCTCGAGTTGAGCCATAAAGGCTTAATT